GAGAATCGATGGAGGTCAGGACGGCTCTGAGAGAGCAGAGGCTTGGTCCTGAAAAACCAAGCCATGCAGGTGAGCATCCGAGCCGAAACTGCATCTCTGTGCTCCTGAGAGTACACCAACAGAAAGACGGCGCCCGATGACGGGTGCGCTTCTGACCACCCGTGTGACACCCAAACCTCCACCGTCCACTGTCAAGACGCAAAAACCCTGGTGCCCAAGTACCCCACACTCGAAATTCAATCCCTCTTGGGACCGCGCTCCATTGCTCGAAGCTGGTCCGGTTTCCATGCGTCCATGGTCCTGGGAGAATGATTTGCTCGCTTTTGGGTGACCTTTAGCCTTGGATTCGGCTCACACCAAGGTTTAGCACTGCGTGTGGCCTCTGAGGAATCTATGGTTCTCTTCTGGCTTCGCTTCCAAATCTAAAGATACTCGTTTAGACAGAGCCAGGGCCCAAAGCACCCAGCAATCAGCAGACTCTTTACAATAGTGGTCCATATTCCATAAACAGGACGGCGCCCCCGAGTTGACGTATTCCTTCACTGCTGAAACCCCTGATAGATCATGCCCTAGCCCTAACTCTAACTATTCTGGACAAAGACGAGCGGTGTAAGATGTCAGTGCCCTCGGGCCCCCGGGCAAAGAACGCACGAAGCTGACGTGGACCCCGAGGCCCCGATGCCTGCGCAGTGGGTTCAGCCACTCGACGAGCAGCATTTGACAAAGAGAGAGAACGGATGTCCTAGGAATGTTGAACACCACTTACAGACACTGCAATGGCAACTCCGCAACCTCAAGAAGATAACCTCGGCCGGCACATGTGTTGATAGCCTTCTGTGTCTCTATGGGAACCTCAGTGCCCCCAAGACAGGCCCAGTGATCCGCAGTATCTTGTGTCAACATCTGGAAGACTGACAGATAGCGTCAGTGCAACGGCAGCAACCAGTTGTGAGGCAAACGGCTGAGGATTCCTGGACTCACGCGTGCGGAAACATGTGCCAGTTTCAACCTCCGAAACTTGCAGGAACCGGGAGGCCTGCCCGAACAGGAGAGGCCTGGGAACATGCACTGCTGCCCTCTTGAAGCCATGCCAAATAAAGCCAATACCGTGACGATTCTGAAGGGCCTAAGAGGCACCAGCTTATAGCAGCAACCAGCAACAGAAAAGGCCTGAAAGTAGCAGACCTGTGTCTGGGAAATGACCTGCGCATAGGGGATTGTGAAGCAAAGAACTCCTGACTCTGCAGATTATTCTTGCTTCGACCCACCAGCATCCTTTGCTTTGAAGCTTTGGGCATCTCAGTTCTTGGCTCTGCACCCTCACACAGCCCGGGCCGCAGAATAACAGTATCGAAGTTACCCTAAGATCCAAAAAAAAAACCTAAACCCTAAACCCTAAACCCTAAACCCTAAACCCTAAACCCTAAACCCCGAAACCCAACCCAACAAGCACATGGCTGCCCGGGCCCGGTGCAGAGGAAAATTCCGTTGGACACCTGGGTATCCACGAACGGTTGGGGCGCGCGCGGGATCGTGAAGGGCTTCTTTTCAGGGCTTTTAAGAAAGGTTTTTAGTAGGGAATCCGTAAAGAGTTGTATGAGGCTGTTACAAGGACTCTGCAAGGACTTTTGTGGGACATCCTGCTGCAGGTTACGAGGGCGCTGTCACGGGGACCGGCTGAGGACTCCTTGGCAAACCGAAGAATGCTGTTGGGACTCACGGAAACCTGCAGTTACGAAGTCGCTCATGAGACAGTGGCGGTAGAACCAAACCGCATTGGAGCTCCAAGTCTTAAGACACCCCTAAACCCTACACCCTAAACCCTAAACCCAAACACTGAACCCACAAAGTGGGACTCCCAGACCGGAACCTTGAATTTACACTTACACTCACAACCCCAAGCCCAAGACTGCAAAGACGAGCACTAAACTCCTAGGCTCCAGGACAAGAATGTATGGGCCCTAGTAGAACTACTGAGCAGGGAGTGTTGCAGACTATCCGCGACTATCCTCTCCTAGGATGATACAAGACATGAGATGAGCTACTACTGGGGCCTCTTTTGCAAAGTTGTGCACGTGCTTATTTGCTTCTCTCATCTGCCTGCATACTTTTTGTATTTATCTGTATCGTTATCTATCTGTTTATCTGCCTATCTGCCTAATATGCCAACCTCTCTATATACATCTGCCTCTATCTCTATCCATCTTCTATCTATAACGGCAATGTCCGGCGGAGAGTTTCTCGACATCATGAGCCTTCAGCAGAGCACAATGCTACACCCAAACCCTCGCCAATCTTAAACCGGCGTTTAAGGTAATGGCGACCGGAGCACTCAAGATCTCCGAGGCCGCCACAGATGCCCATTCGGGACGGTCCGCATTGCAGTCTATGCCTTGCATGACCGAGGAAAGTGCATCATCTGCGGACCAACATAATCGGACTCCGGCACTCGGCCACACATAGATTGAGTCCTAATCCATGTCCCTCGTCTGCTCCACACCTCCACCCTTCCTTGCTCTGCCCCAAGCTTCGCGGGAATGCTCCGCGGTACAACGTGCT